CATTGCGGTTGTGGTGGTGCTTGTGGAACTTGCAATACGGTTCTATTCCTTGAGACATCTCCCATATTTGGGTACACAGATTGCGCAGTTGTGGCTTGAGTTATATTGATGTGGCGTGTCTATGGGATAGTTGTGTTTAATAATATAAGGTCATTGGACCTAGAATGGGTACTATCAGGCTTGATTATGGTATATTCTGGAGGATAATATTGAAAGTCGGCTTAAGAGAGGATTATGGTTATGGCTGGATACAGCTTGTTCAGGCTTATACAGTGAGTAGATGTGAGGTTCGGGTCTTGAAAAGAATTCTCGATGTTAGAAATTTGGCTCCATGGTTTTTGGGCTAAGGTTAATTAATAATTTTCAGTTATGTTGTGTGGTCAGGCCTATATAGAATAGGGGACGTGAGATCACTCCCGGGTATGTGCGTGGTAAGGTGTAATAGAGATTTGAAGGTTAAGAATAACTCTTGGCACGTTCGAGGACGAACGTATGTTTAAGTGGGGGGAGAATGTAACGACCCGACCGGTCATTTTAAGTATTATAACCTCGTTCTCCTATTTACTACTCAATCTATTCTTTATAGTTGTTTTATGACTTACCGGGTTAGTGGATTCGGGTCCGGAAGGAATTCGGAATGAAATGAGACACTTAGTCTTATAATTGAAAATTTAAGTTAGAAAAGTGGACCGGATATGGACCTATATGTAAACGACCTCAGATTTGAATTTTGATGATTACAATAGCTCCGTATGATGATTTTGGGCTTAGGAGCGTGTCCGAAATATTATTTGGAGGTCCGTAGTGGAATTAGGCTTGAATTTTTGGGAAGTTTGACCGGGGGTTAACTTTTTGATAACGGGGTCGAAATTCGATTCTGAAAATTTGAGTACCTTCGTTATGTTATTTATGACTTGTGCGCAAAATTTGAGGTAAATCGGACGTGATTTGGTAGGTTCCGGAGTCATTTGTAGAAATTAGAATTTTCAAAGTTCATTAGGCTTGAATTGGGGTGTAATTCATGATTTTAGCGTTGTTTGAGGTGATTTGAGGGTTCGACTAAATCCGTATGATGTTTTAGGACTTGTTGGTATATTTGGTTGAGGTCCGGAGGGGCTCAGGTAAGTTTTGGATGGTTAAAGGATTATTTTTGGCATTGAGATTGCTGATATCTGCTGCTGCATTTTTCTGATTTTCTCTTTCGCATTTGAGAGTGGGTCCTCGCATTCGCGAAGAGTGTTTTCTGAGTGTGAGATTTTGTTCTTCGCGTCCGCGAAGGTATGGTCTATGTGTGCATCGCGAACACGTGGGAGGTGTCGCGTTCGCGAATAGGAGTGAGGCTATTGGGGACCCCCGGGTCCTTGTTCTACGCGTTCGCGAGGTGGCGTTCGCGTTCGCGAAGGTCAGAGCTGGTAAAGCTTCGCGTTCGTGAAGCCGTGGTCGCGTTCGCGAAGGGTAAGATTTGTAAAGCTTTGCGTTCGCGAAGCCACGGTCACGTTCGCGAAGGGTTAAATTTGTGGGCAGTCGAGTTGTGCTTCGCGAACGTGAGGGACCTGTCGCGTTCGCGAAGAAGAGAGGTTTGGACAGAGAGTTTAAGTTCTGAAAATGGTACTTCGTCCCATTTTTAGTTTTTGACGGATTTGAGCTCGGGAAGAGATGATTTTCGGGAGTTTTTCAAGAAAAACAACGGGGTAAGTGTTCTTAACTCAATATTGGTTAAATTACCTGAATCCATGGTTATTTTTATCATTTAATTGGCGAATTAAGTTGGAAAAGTTTGAAATCCCTCTTAGTTTAAATTGAATATTTGAGGGTCGAGTTGAGGTCAGATTTTGATAAAATTAGTATGGTTAGACTCGTGGTTGAATGGGCTTTCAGATTTTATAACTTTTGTCGAGTTCCGAGAAAGATTTTTGAGTTAAAATTCAGATTTTTATGGAAGATTAGAATTTTCTTATGAAGTTAATTCCAATAAATTTTATTGACTGAAACAAATTATTTGTCACTAGATTCGAGGCATTCGGAGGCCGATTTGCGAGGCAAAGGCATAACAGAGTAAAGAATTTCACGCTCTGAGGTAAGTAACAGTTTTAAATCTGGCCTTGAGGGTATGAAACCCCGGATTTTGGAATCATGTGATTATTTTGGAGGTGACGCATATGCTAGGTGACGGGCGTGTGGGCGTGCACCGAAGGGATTGTGACTTGGTCCGTCCCGAGAAACTGTAAAGTTGAATAATTTGTTGTTAGCTATATGCTCTCCATGTGTTGATAAAAATTTGAATGTAAATCATGTTAGAAATCATGCTTAGGCTATGTGATAGTACTGTTGGGACCCAAAGAGGTCGCGTACTTGTTGAATTTCCTGCTAAATGCTATATGTACTCAGTCTCAATTTTTACTTACACATTTTATCTCAGTCTCTGTTATTATTATTGATACATCATATCATTATTGTTTGGGCTGATTTCATGATTAATGAGAGCCCGAGAGACTGGAGAGATTTATGATTGAGAGAGGCCGAGGGCCTGATTGTGAGATATTAATATCATAGCACGTGAGTTGTCCGTGTAGCACGTGAGTTGGCCGTGCAGATCCTTATATTATACTATAGCACGTGAGTTGGCCGTGCAGCACATGAGTTGGCCGTGCAGCACGTGAGTTGGCAGTGCGGACCCTTATATTATACTATAGTACGTGAGTTGGCCGTGCAGCTCGTGAGTTAGCCGTGCGGATCCAGATATTTATATTATAGCACGTGAGTTATCCGTGCAGATTATAGCGCTTGGGCTGTAGAAGCCCCTCATGAGTCTGTACACTCCAGTGAGCGCGGGTACCCATTGAGAGTGAGTGATGAGGGCTGGGAGCCAAGGGAGTGATGAGGGCTGGGAGACCAGTGAGTGATTGTTGTCCTAAGAGGTTGTACTTGATTTCCATTTGTTATTGCACTTAGTTGCTATCTGTCATTATTGTGAAATCTCTGAAAGATTGTTGACATACGGATTACATGAACAGGAACTGTATAAAAATTGATTTGACATTAAACTGCCAGATTTGATAGCATATCTATTCTTTGCTGGAATTACTGAAAATGAACCATAACTGTGTAGCTCGTTACTATCTTCGGTTCCTTATTTATTATTGTTACTTGCTGAGTTGGTTTGTACTCATACTACACCCTGCACTTCGTGTGCAGATCCAGGTGTTTCCGGACATAACGGGTGTTGATCCTTTCGCGCGATTGATTTTCAGGAGATTTTGAGGTAGCTGCCGTGTTCCGCAGACATTGTCTCTCCTTCTCTATCTCTTTGTTTACTGTATTTGGTCTCAAACTATTATAGACTATATTTTTCAGACTTGTATTCATATTAGATGCTCATGTACTCAGTGACACCAGGTTTTAGGGAGTGTTTGTATTATATTTAAATATTATATTTTTAACCTTAAAGAGAAGTTTTGGTTTATTGAGATTTCGACTTGCCTAGTATCGAGATATGCGTTATCACGACTGGTTAAAATTTTGGATCGCGACAATACTATGATGTCATGTGAAAATGCCATGCTCACAAATTCACGTGTGTCCAACTTTATCTTTTGACACGCTTTCAAATGTTTTCTTCTTCAACGTGAACTTTATATACGTAGTACTTATACCAAAAAAAACTTCATTGTTTGTAAACTTGATCATTCTTTTCTTCATTGTAAATTAAATTTTTTCCAACTTTAGCATATTTGTTTGTAAAATCTTATAAATAAATAATAGTAGGTCCCTTTTTTTGCGTAAATAAAATAAGCTCATTTTGTAAATTAAAATTAAATTTTTTATTTTCATCATTGTAAATTAAAATCGATCTAACTTTAGCATACTCAACTCTAAATTCTTACGAAAATAATAGTAAAAAAATTGGGGTAAAGAATTTTGGCTAGAGTAATAGAGCCAATCTAAGGTAACAAAGAAAAACAAGCATTATCCATTACTATGAAAAATGAATAAATAAAGAAACAACTATATAGTATTTTACTAAGTTTTTCAATTACTATAAAAAAAAAATAAGCTGTCCTAACTAAATTGTGTTAATTATTATTATGATAGAAGAAGGATTCAACAAAGGATTATATACTATCACTATATTTTTCACTTACCACTAGAAGAAGAATAGGTTGCAAATAAATTCTATTAATTCACAAATGAAGAAATATAAATGCAACTGTATATGGCCATTCTTCTTTTCAATCATTGGGAATGAATATGTTTGTTAAATAACTTGTGTTCATTGTTAGTAGGACAATTGGAGAACCAAATAGCTAAAGTGAATTGTTCAATAAAACTTGTACTTATGTGATTGAGTCTTGGAGAGTACAAGGGGATTGGATTTTTTTATATTAGAATCATAATTCAACTCTAAAATATGGGAATAGGAAGCTTAATAAGAGTTTGACAAAAATCTCAAAATAAATTCCTTGCCTAAAGATGTCGCCAAATCTTTTATACTACGGATAAAAGAAATATTTATCTTGAAAATATATTAAAATTGCTCTAAATGAATTTTGTATTTAAGGTGGTAACAAATATTTTAAATGTTATAAAAAAGAATCTTTAGTACCAAGATTAGCATAATATGAACATCAAGCAAGTTCCTTTTAAAATTTATTTTTTTCAGGTAATAGTTGGGACCAAAAATATTATAGTATATTTGTTTTTTCAGTTATTTTAGCTGATTTAAGATTAACTTTAGGATTCTTCGAAGACGAACTCTTAACAAAAAAAAATTGCATATGTATAATTCATATATATATATATATATTATATGTATAATTATGTATCATTAGTTTATAATTTATGTATACTAATTAAAAAAAATAAATAAATCTGACCGTTTATTTATACAAAAATCCCAAAAATTATAATTTAATATTTAATATATGCTTATTGGGTCCTTTACTAGTAACTATATATATGTTTGGTGTTTAGAGGCAACTCCTTACCCGCTAAAATTCCAATTTTGTTGTAGGAAGTTGCGGCAATGGTACCTTTAGTCCGTCGGATGTCCAATATTCATACAAGGAGGAAAAACCCGTTCCTCTCAATTTGTAATGGCTACGCTAATGAGTCAAGCCCGAGTCGACTCGCTTCGCCGCCTCCGATCCAAGTCGGGTTCACCGAGTCAGCCGGTCGAGGTGTGTTTGCCAATCGGAGAATCGGTGCCGGCGAACTCATTCACACTGCCAAACCCATCGTCTCTCACCCTTCTCTTTCTTCACTTCATAGCGCCTGTTATTTCTGCCTCAAGAAGCTTCAATTCAAGAACCAAACTGAAGCGTCAAATGTTCCGTTTTGTAGTTATGAATGTAGAGAACAGTCCAAGGTATATTAACCCTTTTTCGTTAAGTTTGTTTGAGAGATAGTTATGGAAACTATGTATCCGTTTTTTAGAAATGTAATTATCACAATCTGTTAAGCATGGGTTTATGAAAAAGATTGACCTCCTAAAAGAATGAAAATTAATGCTTACGAACAATTTAATTATCTCCAAGGCTCAAACTGCAAGTTTTGTCGTCAGACTGTACCCTCTATTTTAGCTGAGATAGTCATCTGGAAACAGTAACCAATCTAACGCCTCGCCACTACCACAAATCTCAGGTTAGATGGGGTTTTCATTTTTTGTTGGCATTACCAACAGTGGCTGATCTAGAGCACAACTTACGGGGTAGCTTTTTTGCTCAGACCCTGTATATGTATTAAGAAATCCACTAAATAACTATAATTATTTGACTGTATTATAATTGTATATTAATTTCATGGTAGGAGCCCATAAATTTCAAATCGTGGATCTATTACTAAATGAATGAACCTGTGGTGAATAGATTGGAGTTGATGATATCATGAGCGTGCAATAAGATGGTGATATCAGAACACACAGTAAGATCTTGTGGACTAACTACTTCTTGGATCTTCTTATGGAAAGACTGTTTAGCTTCCATTAATTAACCTAATGGTTTTTTTAGCCGTAGTTAAATGATTATAAACTTTATATGCTGTAATAATTCGACAGGGGGACTATACTATGACTTGCTCTATATACTTACTTTGTTGTGCTTAATGTGTCTTGGTTGTTGGATTTTAAAATAAACTTGCCTGTATTAGTATATCTCGCTTCTAACTAATGTTATCTCACGGTTTTAGATCTTTTACGAGACTGAAAAGCAAGCAGATTGGTCAGCTTTTCATGAATATTGTCGGTATGGAAGTTTCTAGTTTCCCTCTATTCTCGATCGAATATTTCGTGTTTGCTCTATCGGTTTTCTTCTGAATCATTTTTATCCTATTCGTCTCATTCTTGCCTTTATGTATAGGCTTTAGTTCCATGCTTAAGTTAGACGCACACCACTTCTTAATTCTTATACATGAGGGGAGAAGGCAATGAAATACTGTTTCCTATATGTTGAAAATGTTAATTTGTCAAAAGAAAATCTGAATTAGATCATTGAGGGCATTTTTTCTCAACATCCATATGTGCCAAAGAAAAGAATTCAAGCATTTACAAATCTATCAACACTCAGAACTATTCTTTTACATTTAGTTAAACAATTTATTTAAACAAATTTGATAAATTTTGTCTGCGTTTAGCTACAGGGTACCATGGGAATTGTCCCATGTACCTTTTGCTAGGGGATAGATGATGCAAGATAACTTGCATTAACATTTTTATAACTATTTGCTTTTTTGAAAAGTTACATTTGTAGAACAATTCGAAGAGTAAGTTTTTGAGAAAGATATACTTATTTCTTGAATGAATAAACTTTAATGTTCTCTAGCTTATAAGTTGTCCACTTATGGAACATGTTAAGCTCTCAGGTTTCCTATAATCTGAATTTGTCAAATTTGGGTATTCGAATCAATCTGCTTAGCAGAATTATTCGGGTATAAAGGTTGTCTGCATAAGTAGATTCTTTCTCATGTTTTATGTTTAGTTTCTGCTACCAAATAAGTCTTTGCTTAATTTTAGTTAGAAACTAACCTAGAAGCAGAAATTTTGAACTTACTTTTATAGTTGGAAAATTGAGGACATATTAAAAAACAAAAAAGATAAGTGTCTTAGAAGAAAAAATGAGGTGTCACAATTTTGTTCTCCTCTTTTGCCCTTTTGAAGTCATTGCGCATTTTTAATATAAAATCTAAACCAAGTTGATATCTAACACTGAAGGTCAAATCTCAATTCTCAGGTCTGAGCAAAATAATAGAGATAAAGTACAATTTCTTTATTAACCTTTCAGGTTTTGCAACATTCATATGATCTTGAAACAATTGCCTTTGATGCTAACCTTTTCGAAGGCAATAGACATTCTTTCCACATGTAAAAGAAGGAAGTGGCTGTCCTATAATTTGCTTCCATTTTAAAGTAGAAAATATGAACATATGATAGATAACTCTCATTCCATCTCATTCTTTTGCTAATAAACCATATATCATGTTTTTGTATATCTTGATAGGATATGAGTATAGGGGGGAAATCATCCTCCGTGATTCATAGTACTATTAGCTATTAAGGCGTGAATGACTATTGGAGTTGCTTTAGAAAGCATATATGGATCTAATGACACATAGCTCGGGGATATTTATTTCACTTATCTTTGTGAGTCGCATATTCTCAGTTTGCTTGTTCTTGTTATGAAGAACTCAGGGCCTGAAGTATCCGCTTCTGGTAAAGAGATTGGCTTGCATGATTATATCTGGAGCTTCCACTCCTGAAACTTTTGACATACTTCAGCCAGCAACATTATCTTCCAGAATGATTTTACTGGTGAGTATTTCAGGTTCAGCCTTTTGCTTAGAAGTTGGAATCCATGTTTGTGCTGTTTGTATTAAAACTTCAAACTCGCTAGCTGTTTTCTAATCCTTGAGAATCTTTACTGTATCTCATTCAGCAGTGTAACGAACTTTTACTGCAAAACTTTGTTTCTGAAATTAACAGGTGAGTGTCGCCGTGTAAACATGGATAAATATCTTCAACAAGAAACTTGGGAGTACAAATACTCATTCTTTTGCAAGGTTTTCTTTTTCTTATTGGTTGAAGAAATATTTTCAACCATATTTTATTTTACTAAATACCAATGGTGATAAATGTTGATAAAAAGCAGTAGTTGGGAGAGGCATTAGTGCATAATATAAGGTGGCTAAAGTAGTCAGGTATTGGTCAAACGAGGTGAAGCGCCAATTAAACAAAGTGAAGCGCACAACTTGAGCTTCACCGAGCTTTAGGCTTAAGCGCGTTTTGTGCGTAAGAGTCATTTTATTTTTATTTTTTTGGTATATTATTAGCCTTATTTTTATTGCGTTATGTGCATATCTTTTTCATATACTTTACTCATTTGCTCCTTTCTTCATTAAACCCAACTCCTTTTTGTGATTTGCATGTAAAACCCGATTCAACTGTGCTTTTTCTTTCCCGATTTTCGCCTTTGATAATACTGCATGTACCTATAAAAGGCATACATCATTTAAATCTATATTCCATTTAAATGTACTTCAAGAAGTTGTTTTTTCATGAATGAAACAGCCAATGACCAGAATTTGTTAAAATATTCTGTCAAGAATGTTGTATGACTTACAAAAAGAAGTCCAAGAGGAAAGAAGTTCCGCTTGATTCTTTTTCCTCCCTGACATTGGAAGGTGGAATGAAATAGAACTTTTTCAAGCGCTGCTTGTTTCTCATCCCCCCCCCCCCCC